GTCACACAGATACACACAGTTTAAGTTCTGCAGCTGCTCCACAACCAAGACAAAATCCAAACATCTCTTGGACCAACGCTCCACAAGAACTGCTCTAGTTTTACTTCTTTTACTGTTTCCTGTTCTATGATGCATCTATCCTGAGCTTTTGATCTCTTCAAAAGGGTCATATTTTTCTGCCCCTGTTGTCTGAAATACTCTTCACTTCTACTTCCCCAGCTGCATTTTGACCAATTCTTACTGATCTTCCAGCTCTCAGCTCCAACTCTACCTTGAGGAAGCTGTTTCCTACATGTTGAGATGAGGCATGTGGGCTACCAGTGCTCACACAGTACCCGTACTTCCTACTGTGCAGCCACAGCCTCATACTCTCCACTAGGATAGGAGTTTTAAGATGGCAGGCTGAAAAAGTAAATATCCAACCTGGTGTTTAACATCTGTATACAAGTTACCCACTCCCATGGCTTTCATTTTCTTTTTTTTTAACTTGCACAGAAGAACTGGGGTGTCGGCCAGAGGTACTGGGTAGGGGTGAGAGGATTCACCAGACACAGAGTGGGGAGCAGAACAGGCAGATGTACTGAAATACACTCCTGAGGGGAGCAGCGGGCAAGGCAGGAGAGCTGTGTCATGTGGGCTGCTCCCTGGCCGGGGATCAAACTCAGGCTGTAGTGGTGATAGCGCTGAGACATAACCCATTGGCCACCAGAAAGGAATCACTCCCATGGCTTTTAATAGATAAACCAGGAACAATAAAGAGCCAAAAGGAAGGGACCTTGGCTGTTCTCAGGAGCATAACCCTACCCCCTACCAAAGCACATACACAGAGGAAGCAACAAAAGCAGTATGAAGCAATAATAAAGCCCAAAGTTTTCCAAAATTTCAAGATGTCGGCACTAAAACAAATTAGGCTCATTCACAATTGAAGAAAATTAGGGAGGTCCAGGAATTATCAAATAAGATCTAATGATTTAGCAGTGGAGCTATTTCCAGAGGGTTGAAAAGTAGGATTTCATTTTGTGGAGTGAAAGTATGCTAAAAAGCAGTGAAAAAATGAATATGCCAAGAATGTTTAATCTCAGTAAACTAAATTTATCAGTTCAATGTGAAAAGATTCAACATTTCAAAAACATTTCTTTTTTACCCATCACCATCTTAAAAAACTATACCAGAGAGAAAAAGCATGATTTATAAACCTCTACAACAAGCTCAGACTTGTATTGAAGAGAGCCAGGATTTTAGATTTTAATTTCAGTTTTTAAAAAAAGAAAAATTTTCCATGGAGCAAAAACAAATTAAGACCCTACTAAATCCCTTGTCACTTTAAAACATAGCACAAAGAAGAAAAAAAAATAAATAACACACCATGAACTAGAACTATACAAAAACAAATTTTCTTCAGTGTGCCTATACTCACCTTTTTTTTTTTTTAAACAAAGTTTTGTTTTGTTTTTTTAAAAATTTATTTATTTATTTATTTATACAAGCACTGGGTACAGTCAGAAGCGCAGGAGGGTGAGAGAATTCACCAGAGCCAGAGGGGAGAGCAGAGCAGGCAGAGTGACGAAATACACTGCTGAGGGGAGCAGCGGGCGGGCGCGGCAGGAGAGGTCTGTGTGCCATGTGGGACCCTCGCCGGCGGTTGGGGATCGAACCAGCGCTGCAGAGGCTGCGGGCAGCTTTGCAGCCCAGCACTCAACCGCTGCACTACCAGGGAGGCCCTATACTCTCCTTTTAAATGAGAAACAAATCAGCTATTTTTTCAAAATATCATGCTATAGATATTATGTCATAAAGGAAAATGATTTATAGGCTACTATTAAAGGTATAAAATAGCATCTGTAGTATTATTTCCCCGGGGCTAACAATGCACTAGATAAATGATAGGAGGAAATATGAAATAGTAATTCTGGCTGCACCAAATGAAGTGATTGAGTAACTAGCTAAGGCCCTATGGCCAATGAGAGGCAGAGATAGAACATACCTTACAGTTCCTTCCTTCTCATCCCTGTCTACATAAAAGCACATGAACGCTGAACTCTAAGAAGCTCAGACCTATCACTGGAAAGATGAACACAGTCCACCAGAAAAGATAATCAGAGGAAGGGAGAAAACTTATACTGAATGTAGTTGAAATTTTCAATAAAAATATGTTAGAGTTGATTCATAGTTTTTGAAAGTGCTATAATTCTTTGAAACAATGAGAAACTTAATTGGCTCCACCAAAAATAATTCAATTCAACTAAAATTTACTGTGCTCACAAGGGACTATAAGCCCAGACAGATTCAAATTCGCATGAATTCTAAAATTTTGGAAGGGGAAAGAGTTATGTACCTAAAAATGACTACAGTGTGTGACAAGCGTGCGATGTACTATTATAAAATGATGGCTAAACCGCATGGTATGGGAACATCCAGGAAGAGATAAGTGGTTCCTTAATTTCTCTTCTTAAAGGAGAAAATTTCTAAAGCAAGGGTGTTTTCCTTTTTCTTCTCTTCCTTCCCCCCACATATACCATGGGTTAAGACAACTGGTTGGTGAGGTGGCATATATAGAAAAATATGAAATCCTTAACCAGAATACCTGAGACTATCTCAGACCTAGCTCTCATAAACTATCTGACCTCCAAATCACTTCCTCATATTGCCACCCAGACTAACTGCAGGCCTCATGGAGAAGCCACCACACTCAAAACTTTAAATGAAGTCCACAGTAAAGGACGGCAGAGGGCTTTCTGTTACAGACAAACAATGTGCAGAGTTTGCAACTCAGAAAAGGAATATAGGAGCTTCAGTTTTTAAAATCTGTAAATCTGCTCCATAAGACACAGATAACACAAGGAAAAATTTAATTAGGTACTATTAAAACAAAAGGTATCACTGTTGTCCTAACTTTTTTAATTCAATAAGGATGACTTTGCTGCCCACATTCCACTAAGTTTTTGCCAACGTAAACATTTGATTGCAAAAATGGAACGCTGTTCTTTGTGCTAGTCAGAATTTAGCACTTGTCTGGTATTCTGAATAAAATTTTAGTCTTTAAGTTACAATCAAAAACATCAAATAGAAGATTAAGGAAAAACACACAATTACTTTAAAATATAAAAATAAGGTGCTGGATTTCATTAAGTCATATTCGAGAAAAATAAATCTGAGGGTTAAAGGTTAGGAAGGAATTAGTTACAAAAATCTTGGACTTACACTGCAATAAAATTAACTCAGAGCCAAGAAAGTTCACAGTAAAGACAGAAATTAAAGATGAAATTGGAAAAAATGAAAAAAAATTAGATAAACGAACAAATGTTTTATTTCAAAGGGGGAGGAAAAAAAGAGCTGGGCTAGAGTTCAAATTCAACACACAAAGTGAAAACAATTCAGCCCATTTAGGGGAAGGAAAATTGTGGTCAAATTGGTAAAGTGGCAAAAAATCTCCAAAGTCATTTCAAGAGTTCCTCTCTCCTATCTCATTTCTCCATATATATGCTTTTAAAAAAAATTCCTATTATAATAATAATTATTGGCAAGCTGGAATTTCATTTCGTTTCCCATAACTTGAAACCAAGGTGAAAAAATTAGAGGGGGTGGGGGGGAGGGAATACAAATTTTTAAGATAAATAAAGTGTGAAAATCCCCACCACTACCTCGAGGTTATACACCCTTTTACTTTAATGAAATACAATCTTCTTTCTAGTTAATGCTACAAAGAGAGAAAGGAGGCACTCCCAGAAATGAGATCCTAGCACAAATCTCAAAGCTCATTACATGTTTATAAAATCCTCACCCCGAAAGAAACAAGAAAAACCTAAACCTCCACAAATAGACTATTTCAATTTAATTTTTTTATGAAAACAACAGGAAATGTCAGCAGGGCATTGGATAAGCTCAATTAGCAGAAGGATCAAATGAAGTGATGACATGCCATTATGACCTCAGGGGTTAAAGATGCAATTTTCCATCTGGTGAAATCTAGATTTCCAACACAAATGCTGACACCACCTGCTGTATGTTATTAGGCGTTATCCCTTGCAGTCCCTAAGCATTTTCCTTACAACAGGTATAGCCTCAAGTTTTTTCTTACTTTGCTCTGCAATATAATTGCTTCCCCACGAACAGAAATCAAAAGTAAATTCTACATAATGGCTCATTCAAAACAGGTATTAAAGCCATACTAAAGCATTCATTTACCAATCGCAGTAATAGTAAAAATATTGTGATTATTTTTCTTCTAAGTCATAAATGTCATCATTATCTATAGCACCTAAGAATCATACCAATGTAGAGCTGTCTTTGTATGGTCTCAATTAATAACCCCTTACTACTGAAATGGACAATATGGGCATGTCTGATAAGAGTCAGATCTACAGAACCCCTTCATGAAATAAAAATTTACCATATTTTTAAACTTAAGTCTCATTGAGTCAAACAATGGTTAACTTTTTAAAAAATTTTACATACCAAGAGCTCATCTGCAAGTATTTAGACTCTTAGATATTTGTATTAGCAAGAATCATGTTATTACAAGGTTGAATATTTTTATAGTCTGCATAATTGATTCTGTAAGTTAGTAGTTAGCCATTGAATGCACAGCTCTCATTGTATTTAGAAATGATTAGGTTTGTGTCCTATGATACAAAAGTATGCTCACACACATACTCATACTGTAACCTATATTAACAATTTCCAATACCCAGTCTTGAGATTTCATATGGGACAGTTAATAGCATAGCAAAGAATACAACTTCTGTTGTATCACCTATTTTCCAGGCTGCACTAACTTTTTCCAGTAAAATTAACTTTTTGCCATCTTCAACTTGCTCCCTAAACAAACTCAACAGTTTCCCATGCTAATCCAGTTTTTTCTACAGTGTTTGCTATCTATATAGGGTTTCTCTCTTGTTAAAAGTTATACCCTATGTTAGTCACTTCCATTTCTTCCTCCCAGGTAAGTAAATGTTCCAGAAATGGGACTATATAAGATTTGTAAATTACTCAAAACTTACTTGGTTTTCTGAATCCACACACAGTAGTCTGAAATGTAGAGATCATTTAAAATGTAAGCAGGGTCATTTTCCTGAAAAATTTTGTGAATATCCAGTAGACACTTTAAAACTGCACTTCTACCTAAAGGAAACAATAAACAAAAAGGCCACGCTTAAGAAAGAAAAAATCTTATTTTTCTAATTGAAAACTTCAGATACTAAGGGTTAATATATTTATAGTTCAGAATTTTTAACATTTTAAAGGCTATTTTTAACACTTTATTGCATGAAATTATATCAGTACTATTAAATCCAACCCCTTCTATTTTGTTTCTGAAGAACTATGAAAAAGTTTTATTTCTATTGTTACAGCTGATTGTGGGTAACTATGAAACACAGGTGGTACATAAAAAAAGGAAAATTAAGCTCCCTGGTGGCGCAGGGGTTAAAGACACAGCGCTATCAAGCCATTGCCAGCCACTTCACCATGAGTTGTTTGATCCCCAGCCAGGGAGATAACCCACATGGCACAGTAGACCTCTCCCACCTCACCCGCTGTTCCCCTCAGCAGTGTATTTCAGTAGATCTCCCTTTTCTGCTCCCCACACTGACTCTGGTGAATCCTCTCACCCTTCCCCCACACCTTTGGCCTACACACCAGTTCTTATATGCATAAATAAATCTTTAAAAAAAAAGGAAAGTTTTCCTACCTAAATAAATATTTAAATGCACTGTAACTTTAATTAGATAATCTTCTAATTCGAACTTCAAAAATACCATGGAAATTATAGTTTTCAAACTTCTTTGTTCTTTATGTAAACATTTGTTGTGAAAGAACCACCTAAACTAACTTAAATTTATTCACCTTACAGAACTGACAAAAACTCAGCCTGAAAACTATCATAATAAAAGCTCAAAAATGAGCCAATAAAAATTACTTGGGAAAAAAGTCACCAAGTACTAAAGTTTTGTTCAATCTAATTACTTCCTCATTCTTTAAATAAACCTAATATAAATCCCAACCGAAGCCTACAAAAGGAACCTTTCACAACTCAATAACTCCCTAGGTGTTCCAAACTTCATGATAGCCCTGAAATTTATTAACTATAAAGCAACTTACTAAATCTACAGTAGTACCACTTCTTCCTTTGATCTGTGAAATACAACATTTTCAATTTAACTTCTTCATTCACACTGATCATATTTTTATCGACAATTCCCACTTGACTTCTAGATAAAAGTATCATAAGTTAGATAATCCCATCTCAAAATGCCTAAATTGCTGCCACTATATTTTTAACAAAATTAAGGAAGTAAGCTTCAAAAGAGCAGGGACTTGTGTTTTATTTACTAGTTAATCCCCAATAGCTTGCAGCAGCAAATAAATAAAATTAATGTGTTTCAAGAATGAATAAATGAATGACACAGTAATTACCTTATAATTTCTCTTATCCCATAGCTTCATATTCTAAGTGCTAATGATTTTTCCTTGGAGCTTCCCATTTCCCACCATTTCTGTGCACCTATCCTCACTCACACTCTTTATTATCTCATGCCAAAATTTCCTTCCTTCCCCCTGAACTCCTTTTCTCTCCCTTCTATGCCTCTGACGCGCATTTTTTATGCACTGCTTTTGTCAAGTTCCCACACTGCATGTCCTTTGTTCAATGGGTTCCCTAGCCATGGAAAGCCTTCTCTTTGTCTCTACACCTAATGGAAACTTAGCCTACCTTCAAAGCCTATGTCAAGTGGTCATCCTTCAGGCTACCCTTCTAGGGGTCAGAACTCTTCACTACACCCTGTAAAGGAAAGAAGTGGGAAGGAAACTCCCCATAAACTCACCTACTCACCTAATAGAAGCAGAACTTGAGGCTCAATAGACAAGATACAGTGCCACTAAGTTGAGCATCCAAGATCTACATTCTGGTATCACTGGTTCTAGAAGCTAGCCCCTATGCTCTGCTGCCCATATATTCTTGGCCCATTCAGTCACAGCATAACATTCTAGTGAGTTCAAAGTAGTATGGTCGGACCTCCCTGGTGGTGCAGCAGGTTGAACGCAGCGCTGTGAAGCTGTCTGCAGCCTCTGCAGCACAAGTTTGATTCCCAGCCAGCCAGGTAGATACCCACATGGCGTGGCAGACCTCTCCTGTCTTGCCCGCTGCTCCCCTCAGCAGTATTTTCGGTCCATCTGCCTGTTCTGTTCCCTGCTCTGTCTCTGGTGAATCCTCTCACCGCCCCGTGCCTCTGGCCTGTACCCCAGCTCTTGTATAAATAAAATAAATCTTTAAAAAAAAAAAGTAGTATGGTCAAAGCAGGTACCATGCTGTTCTTAAAGATTTAAACTATTTACATGGCTTCTTCAAATGCAGATAGAAAGAATGCCAACAAAAGTTGCTAAAGTGATTAAGAAAAATAAATACCTAGAGGGCCTACAACTACATTTGGTGAAGTCAAGATCAGAGTTGTGATTTATCAAATGATTATAGACCTACTTATAGAGTAGGTAATGTTTGATGACAGGTAAATTAAAGCACAAAAACTCATTGAAGTGATGCAACCGAATCAGCCATGTTGTCCAAGTAAGAAAAAAAATCAAGGGAGAACAAACTAAAATGCAAGAATTTTTTGAACAGTTTTAATGCCACAAAGAAAGAAGAAAATATTAGGGCAAGCATGTGCCAATTTCTTTCTCTCTCTTTTGGAGGTGAAGTACAGGGAGAAAGTGTTTAGTTTTATAATAAGGATTAGCTTAAAGTTTTAAAAGTCAAACACAGGTATTACCAGAAAAGTGAGCAATTCATTTGACATTTATATAAGCTCCTCTGTAGAGCTTATATAAGCCAGAACACTGCCTCCCGGATCACATTCCTAAGAAAGTTGCACATACACTTCTGTGAAAAAGGGAAATGCCATTTTCCCCAACCCCAGGTACCTTAGACTACCTTTAGCAGGTACCTTAGACTACAAGTCCCAACATGCCATGCATATCACTTCCTGGATAGGGGGAGGAGAAAGCTGGGAAGAAGGAAGGTGAATATATATAAGTGGAAGTGGAACAAGGATGGGGACAGGAGACACATGGATGGCGACACATGGAGGAGAGACAGGGAGAGATACTTGGAAAAGATATTTGGAAGACACACATGGATGAGAGACATGGGGAGGCTGCTCCTGGTCCTTGCTGAGACTACGGCAGTTGTTATCTTGATCTCATGTTGGATTACGTAACATATTTCTAATTTTGAGTCTCTCCCTTCGTCCCAGCACTCAGGGACCTGCCTAACACATTTTTTTGTGATTCCTTGCCAGCAGGTAACTTAGACTGGTGGCAAGCTTTCTGCCCACTTTAAGCCAAGCCTGTTTGAGCATCTTCTGTCTCTTTCTCTATGCACAACAATTCTATTAAAAACCTTTCACATTAAGGATATGTTTCTTTTGCCTTTGTGCGCATGGGTGGCTGGACCCCTTTAAGAGTATGCCTTCAGAGTTTGGGGTACCTGGGTAGCCCTTGGTCATGTGCTAACAAGAATAATGTGCTTTCCTGTTCTGGAAATACATGAATAGATGACTACATCTTAAAACAGACAAAATTGGACTATTCCAAATTAGAACCTTTGGCAATTTGAAATCTTCCTACTGGCAGACCAGGTTTGGCAGTATCTCTCACTAGAAGAGCAGCTCATGGCTGAAGGGACTTACAAAATGGAACCGTTCTCTAGAAGATTCTCAGGAAAGTGAGAGATTTTCGCTAGTTAAAATCTATCATAGGAAGGCCTCCCTGGTAGCGCAGTGGTTGAGCGCTGGGTTGCAAAGCTGCCTGCAGCCTCTGCAGCACCGGTTCAATCCCCGGCCACCGGGCAAGGGTCCCACATGGTGCGCAGACCTCTCCTGCCACCCGCTGCTCCCCTCAGCAGTGTACTTCATCACTCTGCCTGTTCTACTCTCCGCCCTGGCTCTGGTGAACTCTCTCACCCTCCTGCGCTTCTGACTGTACCCAGTGCTTGTATAAATAAATAAATAAATCTTAAAAAAAAAATCTATCATAGGAAAAATAATATAAATTGCTAGTAAGAGTCAAATTTCTTTTCAACTACTAGAACATTATAGCTGTATATGGCTGCAGTTTTCTGGGTTTCAAGTTCTGCACTTGAGTTTTGTGCTACACGAGACAAGACGACAAGAAGAGTAAAGTAAAAAAGAAGCGGTTAATCAAAATGCCTGAAGCAGGGCCTCCCCAGTGGCGCAGTGGTTGAGCGTTGGGCTGCAAAGCTGCCCACAGCCTCTACAGCGCCAGTTCTACCCCCAGCCACTGGCGAGAGCCCCACATGGCGCGCAGACCTTTCCTGCCGTGCCCGCTGCTCCCCTCAGCAGTGTACTTCATCAGTCTGCCTGTTCTACTCCCAGCTCTGACTCTGCTGAATTCTCTCACCCTCACATGCTTCTGACTATACCCAGTGCTTGTATAAATAAATAAATCTTTAAAAAAAAAAAATGCCTAAAGGAAAGCATTGCTTAGTCTTTATTTGTAAAATCTAAAAATAAAAGTAAAAAAAGTATTATTATCTAAAAATATATAGATAGCTTAGTAGATATCAGGCCAGAATTCTGGGGTTTTGATGAGTACACATTATCAAGAAGGATAATTTATGAACTATTTTAACATAATATTCATAGACCATTTGACCATAAAAATGACTGAAATGTGTCAATTTATTCAAATTATTATGAACAGAATCAAAGTATGGGAATTTGCTTCAACAGCACATAAGTTGCACTGCTTAACAATTAACATAAACATTCCTTATGTTTAAGTTTATGAAGGTATCTCAAATTCATTTCATTGTTTTTTAGTCCCAAATTCTTTAGATGGCCATTTAATTCTGATCTGTAATAAGAAACACACACTTGAAGCAATGAGTGACTATTTTTGAGTACAAATTTATAGTACTGTTATTAAAATTACATGTTATCTCTATAGCCACAAACAAAATTAAAACAAAGCAAACATATACTCTCTAGATGTTCCCTTGTACCTGGAATACATAAAAGCCAACCCAACCCTAACTTACTCTCAGGTCTCAAATTAGGCCATACTTTCTCTCGGAAACAGGATCCAAGTCTCCCCCAAGCTGAATTGGG